CATAGATCTATTTCCCCATCCTCATATAAATATATTTGCATATGTACATGTCTTTATCTACACCTCTATAAATGCCTTTTTTTTAAAGGATGATATTCACCAGCCCCACATCCCTCATTATTTCAGGAGTTAGAAGAAAATCTGGGGAGAAGGAAGAAGAAGTATTCACTGGGGATAAAAATGTTTTGTTATGATTAATAACTCATATCTTATGAGTTGACTACCATCAAGTCGATTCCAACTCCTGGCGACACTATAAAACAAAGTAGAACTGCTCCTTTGTGTTTCCACAGAGTGGCTAATGGGCTTGAACTGATGACTTTGTGGTTAGTAGCTCAATGTGTAATACACTATACCAGGGTGCTTTAAAATAAGATTAGTGAAAAATTAGAAACATTCTAAATGTCCCAAACAGCAGTAGCAAAGAATTTCAGTCATTGCTGTTGAGTTGATTCCTCCTTATAGCGACCCCATATAGAGTTTCCTTGGCTATAAATCTTTACAGGAATAGTCAGACTCCTCTTCCTTCTAAGTGGCTTAGCAGTCCAAGGCCCACCTGACTGTACCACCCAAGACTCATTGCCAGCGAGTAGATGCTGATTCATAACAACCCCATAGGACAGGGTACAACTGCCCCTGTGGGTTTCCGAGACCGTAACTCTTTAAGGAGGTAGAAAGTCTTGTTTTTCTACTGTGGAGTGGTTGGTGGTTTTGAACTGCTGACCTTTCAGTCCACAGCCCAACACTTAACCACTGTGCCACCAGGGCTCCTTAACAAAGGATTAATTGGTTGAATGAATGACAATGCACCCATCTAATGAATACTCTGCAGCATTACAGTTTTCTTATAGAAAGTGCCCCAACTCGATTGCTCGATAGACAGTTTGTCAGAAATTCCAGTTCAGCTCCTTGATTTTGTCATAAGAGCAGGGTGATTTGGGTGATAGCGCACAAGTAGAAACATCTCACTGCGGTTCTTCCCATCAAGACAAAACATTTGCCTTTTCTTCCTTCAGATTCGCATGCAGGCTCAAGGGAGCTTGTTCCAAGGGAGCATGATTGGCAGCTTCATCGACATATACCAACAGGAAGGGACCCGGGGCCTGTGGCGGGTGAGCATGTTTGTCTTATCTTGTTCTCCATGCCCTAGAATTGGCTGAGAAGCATTATTAACTAAAAACCACAAAATTAGGAATTTCACGTCATCTGATCCTATGTAAGATTCTGCAGGAACCCAGAGGATAAGTTAGGTAAGAAGCTCTTCATCACCTATGTTGTTGTTTCCTATTGTCCAGTCAGTTCAGACTTGTGGCGGCCCCAAGGCACCTCAGAGTGGCTTTTTTATTTTTTCACTTCCACAGCCTTTGGCATTTTTTTCTCTTTTTAAAAAAAATCATTTTGTTAGGGGCCCATACAACTCTTATCACAATCCATACATACATCAGTTGTGTCAAGCACATTTGTACATTCATTGTCCTCATCATTCTCCAAACATTTGCTCTCCACCGTAGCCCCTCAGAGTGGCTTTTAATCGCCAGTCTCTTGACTAGTAGTCAACCTAGTCATCCAGAGCTTAGCCATTTGTGCCACCCAGGGTCACCTCAACCGTCCCCTATGAAAGGACCCAGCACAGCAAGATATGACCACAAGTGTTGTTATGGAAAAATTTTTTTTTCACCATTGAAAAAGTCAATGAAATGCTATGAATTGTTGAGAAAGCAGGGAAAAAGGAAAAGGCCTTGCAGTCCCATCACAGAGAAATAGTCCCTGTTAATGCTTTGCCACATTATCTTTCCTCTTTTGTCTGTCATTTGCTCTTCCTAGAACTTTTGATCATGTTTTAATTGCTTAATGTAATATTAAATAAGGCTACTAGCAGATGGACATTGGGCCTCTACTCAAGTACTCTCTCCACACAACAACACTGTTCTATTAAACTGGCATTCCATGATGCTCACCTTCCCAACACGATTGCTGAAGACAAATTGGGTACATAAGCAAATATGGTGAAGAAAGCTGATAGTGCCAGCTATCAAAAGATATAGCGTCTGGGGTCTTAAAGTCTTGAAGATAAACAAGCAGCCATCTACCTAAGAAGTAATATAGCCCACATGAAAGAAACACACCTGTCTGTGTGATCATGAGGTGTCGATAGGATCGGGTATCAGGCATCAAAGACCCAGAACAAAAAAATTATATCAGTGTGAATGAGGGGAGTGCAGAGTGGAGACCCAAAGCCCATTTGAAGACAGCTGGACATCCCCTTACTGAAGGGTCGCTGGGAGGAGACGAGCCAGTGAGGGTGCAGTATAGCAATGATGAAACATACAACTTTCCTCTAGTTCTAAATGCTTCCCCCCACACTATCATGATCCCAATTCTACCTTACAAATCTGGCCAGGCCAGAGTATGTACAGATAAGAGCTGGAAAGACAGGGAATCCAAGACAAATAAACCCCTCAGGACCAGTAATGAGAGTAGTGATACCAGGAGGGGAAGGGGAAGGTGGGGGGAGATAGGGGGAACCAATCACAAGGATCTACATATAACCCCCTCCCTGGGGTACGAACAACAGAAAATTGGGTGAAGGGAGACGTTGAACAGTGTAAGATATGACAAAATAATAATAATTTATAAATTATCAAGGGTGAGGGAGGGAGGAAGGGAAGGAGGGAGGGGGAAAATGAGGAGCTGATACCAAGGGCTCAAGTAGAAAGAAAACGTTTTGAAAATTATGATGGCAACAAATGTACAAATGCGCTTGACACGATGGATGTATGGATTGTGATAAGAGTTGTATGCGGCCCCATTAAAATGATTTTATAAAAAAGATTACCAGGACACTATAATATAGGCAGATTTAATGATATTAAATAAGGCTACCAGGATACTATGTAGACAAATTAGAATGAGAAATCCTTTCACAGGCTTTTAAATATCAAAGAGCTTGTTTTTTTTTTAATTGTTCTTGATAATTTTCTCCCAACCTCCTTATGAGCATTTTTTAACATACGGAAAAGTTGAAAGAGTAGAACAATAAGCACCTATAAGCACACCACCTGTATTAAATGACTGTTGAAGTTTTCCATATTTACTTGTTCATTGTTTAGTTTTTCTATTTTTAACTAAGAATAAGGATTTTCTTCTCTATAATCACACTACCATTATCATATCTAAGAAAATTAGTACTAAATTCTTAATATCTAATAGCTAATCCATAGATAAATTTCCCATGCAAATGAGATCAGGCCACCTGCCTCACAGAATGCTTCTCCCTGATGTTTAACTTGTTCCTTCATTCTCTGTATTTCCTATAATCTGGAGGTTAGGCTGGCACCTTGGTGGCTTAGTGGTTATGTGTTGGACAGCTAACTATGATCTCAGCAGTTTGAAGCCATCAGATGATTCTTGGGAGAAAGATGAGGCATGCTACGCCCATTAAGAGTTACAGTCCAGGAAACCCACAGGGGCAGTTCTTCCCTTCCTACAGGGAGGCCATGAGTCAGAATTGCCTCGATGGCAGTGTTTGGATTTTGGTGGTTAGGCTCATTGACCTAGATTCCCGTTAAACATTTTTGGGGGAAGTGCTTCCTGGGTGATCCTTTGTGCTTCTGATGGCATCACAGGAACAGGAACATCATGTTAGGTTGTCCCGTGGTTAGTGATACTTAACCTTGAGTGCTTGCTAAGATGTGGTTTGCTCGACCTCGCCATTGAAAAAGGTTTGTTTTCCCCACTACAATTAGCAAGTAACCTGGGGGGTAATCTTGTAGCAACATGCATTGATCCTCTTCCCTAAAAACTCGCCTATTGGTCTTCTCACTCTCTCACTGCCATCGAGTCAGTTCTGTCTCAGTGACCTTCTAGGACAGGGTAGAACTGCCCTTATGGGTTTCTGAGGCTGGAACTCTTTATGGCAGTAAAATACCTCATCTTGCTCCTGCGGAGCAGCTGGTGGGTTCCAACCGCTGACCTTGTGGTTAGCAGCGCAACATGTAACCCATGATGCCACCAAGGCTCCTTCTTAATGGTCTGAGTATGCGCTAATGAGTCTTGAAAGTTGCACCATTATAGCTACAGAGCTGTGCGGCCACCAAAATAAGAACCAGTGGTTCTCAACCTTCCTGATGCTGTGGCCCTTTAATCCAATTCCTCATGTGGTGGTGACCCCCAACCATAAAATTATTTTCGTTGCTACTTCATCACTGTCATTTTGCTACTGTTATGAATTGGGTGACCCCTGTGAAAGGGTCGTTTGACCCTCAAAGGGGTTGTGACCCACAGGTTGAGAACTGCTGATCTCTATGAAACCACACAGTGTATGGCCTCTCACGGTTCATCCATGTGGCAGCGTGTGCCCTTGTTTCATTCCTTCTTACGGCTGAATAATATTCCATTCCACGGTTATACCACAATTTGTTTACTCCTCTATTGATAGCCATTTGGGTTGTTTACCCTTTGGGTTAGGATGAATTATGCAGTGCTGAACATTTGTGTGCAAGTTTTGATGTGAACACATTTTCCCTCCTCTTGGGTGTGGACTTGCTAAGTCTGTGTGGTACAGTGAGTTCTGTCATGTGGCCCTTTGCCTTGGTTCTTTAGAAAAATTGCTTGAGAGACTTTCTTCCACCTAAACCCTGAGGTGTTTGTTACCTGGCCCTAGTTTTCTGCCACAGAGGGTTTATAAATTTTGCCCAGGTTGGTTGATGTTTTCTGGGTAAGTTATAAACAACGTGATTTGATGTTTTTTGTCTAGTCCCTGGCTGCAGCCTATCTGGTGTGCACCTTGCAGGTATTGGTCAATAGGCTTTGCAAATGAAGTGAATTGTAGCTTAGCTGTGTCTACTATGCACATAAGGTATCTGTGGCTTACTGAGAGGATTACTCAGTTTGTGTTGAACTCCTCTTCCCAGGGAGGGGCCAGGCCTTGAAATTGACAAGGAGTCTGTGTGTGCATGTGTTGTGAGTTCATATAAATGACAGCCGGTATAATACCTTGATAATTTAGAAGACTTTTTATTCTGTTATAACCAGACTAGTAGAATCTAAAAGTGATTCTTTGATTGCAGTCCTGAGTGGACATTTCAGTTCATCTTTAAAGGCAAAAACTTATTTATCATTTGTCTAGGACTTAAGCAAGTATGGACAGAAGCAGAAAGCAAAATTAAATGTACTTATTCTTTAGAGTTAGTGAACCTTACAGGGTACAGCATTGATAATAACATACTGGTTAATGAAATAAAAGTAGGTTACCACCTCAAAAGGAACAGTATTATTAATTAAAATGTTCTGATCTCAATAACTTAAGAGTACATTCTAAAATCAGTCACCCGTGGGACTTTTCTGGGATGGGAGAGGGAAGCAGGCAGGTCATTCTGCAGTCAACAAGATAGCATTAAAGTGCCTAGTGCTAGTCTATCTTACATGTGCGTGCATAGAAATGTTCCATTATCTTTGAATTCCACTTTCTATGAACATTTCGAAGCCCTCTTGTATACAGCCAACCCCAAAGAAGTTGGAGCAGGCAGGAAGAAGAGAAGCAAAAGGAAGCAGAGAGAGAGAGAAGGCAAGAAATTTCCTAAAAGTAATGTAAGCTCTGGCTGGAAGGGGTTCATGGGTTGAGCTAGCAATAGCAGGCCCAGAAGGGGTCCAGGCGAACAGCCTGGAAGGGCCCAGCAATAGAATTGGCAGTGACCGGACAGCAGTGCCCAGAGGAGCCTGGCTTCAGGGGGCCTGAGAAGAGCTGAGAGAGCTCTCCATCTAACTCATCTAGATTCCTGAGTCATAACTTGTTGATCCTGATCCTAGCTATACATTTTTCCTTAATAAATCACTTAATTTAATAAATTACTTAATTATGGGCTACAGGTTCTGTGTGGCAACAGATTATTGCAGTAGATTTTTGAACCCAGCAAAAAAGTAGTGAGTGCCAAGGGCGGAGTGGCTGGTGTCAGAATTGGTTAAAAGGTGGGTGAGTGGAGGTACATTATAGGGACCGGCCTTAATTGATCTTAATTCTCATCATTCCCTTTCCTCTGGGTGATGTTAGATTCTACTGCTAACTGCGCCTCCCCCATACTAACCCCCCCACTCACTGTTTAACATTTTGAGAAACAGCCACAGTGGCTGCCCCATTTTACATTTCCACTAGCAGTGTGTGAGGGTTCTCATACCTCCACAACCTTACCAATACTTGTTAATGTTTTCTTAATCATTATTATAGTCAATCTAGTGTGTGTACAGCAGCATATATTTGTGGTTTTGATTTTCATTTGCCTAGTATATTAGGCTGGGTTGTCTAGAAAAAAATAGTGATATTCATATATGTGTAAGAAAGAGTTTTCTATCAGAAAGTAATCTTATATCAAGAAGGCATTCTAGCCCAGTCCAACTCAAGTCCATGGGTCTGATGCTGCCCCAGGCCCTCTTCAGACTCTTGTAAACGTTGAAAAGAAGAGAACAATGTAGCTAGCTGCAGGCCAATGATGCAGAAAGGTGAAGAAGGATGCTGGACATCCCCTTACAGAAGGGTTTCCGGGAGGACACGAGCCAGTCAGGTTGCGATGTAGCAACAATGAAAAAATACAACTTTCCTGGCAAGATATGACAAAATACCCATTTATAAACTATCAAGGGCTCATGAGGGAGGGGGGAGCGGGGAGGGAGGGGAAAAATGAGGACCTAATGTCGGGGGTTTAAGTGTTTTGAGGATGATGTACAAATGCGCTTTACACAATTGATGTGTGTATGGATTGCAATAACAGTTGTATAAGCCCCTAATAAAATGTTTTAAAAATAAATTAAAAAATACAACTTTCCTCTAGTTCCTAAATGCTTCCCCCCGTCCCCACTATCAAGATCCCAATTCTACCTTGCAAGTCTGGCTAGACCAGAGGATGTACACTGGTACAGATAGGAACTGGAAACAGGGAATCCTTTCAGGACCAGTGGTGTGAGTGGCGATACTGGGAGCGTAGAGGGAGGGTGGGTTGGAAAGGGGGAACCGATTACAAGGATCTACATGTGACCTCCTCCCTGGGGGACGGACAACAGAAAAGTGGGTGAAGGGAGACGTTGGACAGGGCAAGATATGACAAAATACCAATTTATAAATTATCAAGGGTTCATGAGGGAGGAGGGAGCGGGGAGGGAGGGGAAAAATGAGGACCTGATGCCGGGGGCTTCAGTGGAGAGCAAATGTTTTGAGAATAATGAGGGCAATGAATGTACAAATGTGCTTTACACAATTGATGTATGTGTGGATTGTGATGAGTTGTATGAGCCCCTAATAAAACGATTAAAAAAAAAAGATACAGGGAGATCAAAGGCCAGTTGGTGCCTAGTCACATGGAGCACATTGGTGGGAACATAGCAGGGTGCAGACAGCTCTTAGGGTCTGGCAGCCCACATGGGGCCACCCCTGGAGGCAGACACAAAGTCCCAGCAAGCAGGAAGGAGAAGGGGCATAAAAAGATCGTACCTCCCAGGAGATATCCTGAACCTGATTAATATGTTGGACTCCCTGCACCCCTACACTTTCAAACAAATTCAAGTTGACATAAAATCTAACTATCACACCTAGAGACTAATAATATTGGGTCTCTGTTTATATGCTTCTTGACCATTGTTGTAACTTCTCTGGAAAAATGTCTATTCAGACCCTTTGCTCATTTTTTAAAAAAAGTCATTTTATTGGGGGCTCTTAACAGCTCTTATAACATTCCATGCATCAATTGTATCCAGCATATTTGCACATATGTTGCCATCATCATTTTCCAAACTGTTTGTACTTGAGCCCTTGATATAAACTTCTTTCCCCCCTCCCTCCCCCACCTTCCCACCCTCGTGAATCCTTGATCAATTGTATATTGTTATTATTATTTTGTATCTTACACTGTCCATTGTGTCCCTTCACCCACATTTCTGTTATTCATCCCCTTCAAGGGGGGGGGCAATATATTCAGTTGTGATGGGTTTCCCTTTTCTCCCCCTTCCTCCTCCCTGCCCTTGATCCTACCCTCACCTCATGATATCACTACTCCCACTACCACTACTGTTCCTGAGGGGTTTATCTGTCCTGAATTCCATGTGTCAAGAGCTCTTATCTGTACCAATGTGTGTTCTCTGGTCTAGCCAGATTTTTAAGGTAGAACTGGGTCATGGTAGTGGGGGGAAGAAGTATTCAGGAACTAGAGGAACAATGTGTGATTCGTCGGTGCTATACTACACCTTGGTTGAATCATTCTTTCCTTGTAACCATTCTGTGGGGGGGATCTCCAATTATCCACAGATGGGCTTTGGGTCTCCACTCCAATCCCCCTCATTCACTTCGATATAGTTGTTTGTTTTGGATCTTTTGATATTTGATACCTGTTCCCGTTGACACCTCATGATCACACAGGCTGGTGTGCTTCTTCTATGTGGGCTTATTTGCTTCCCTGCTAGATGCCTGCTTGTTTGACTTCAAGCCTTTAAGACCCCAGACACTATATCTTTTGATAGCCAGACACCACCTGTTCCTCTTCACCACATTTGCTTATGCACCCATTTTGTCTTCAGTGATCAAGTGGGGAAATGTGAGTATCAAAGATTGCCAGGTTATCAGAACAAAGTGTTCTTGTGTTAAGGGAGGCCCTGAGTAGAGGCCCCAATTCTGTATACTATCTTAATACTTATCATATAAATATATGTACATTGGCCTCTATCCCTTTTATTATAAAGTAACCTATTTCCATATATACATGCCTATAGCTATACCTCTATCAATAAGTAATGCCTCCTATTTCTTTCCTCTTATTTCCTTTCATCTTTCTTCTATCCCACTATCATGCTCACCTTCCATTTGGCTCTCAGTATTTCCTCTGCGATACATTGCTCTTGATCAAACCCCACCCGGGCATTATATACCCTCCTCCTCATCAATTTTAGATATCTTGTTGTTCTCTTATCTCTGAGTCTTTTGGCTCCCCACTCCCTCTCCCATGTACCCCTGGAACCGCCGGTCCCATTGTTTCCTCCTTGGGATTGCTTGTACTGCCCATCTTATACAGATAGACATAGGTTGAAAGGAAAGGAAAACAAAAACACCAAAAAGCAAAATAAGAAAACAAAACAACAACAAAAAGACAATAGATCATTCCAGATCTGTCTGCTGACGCTTATGAATGTTTAACGATTAGGTTTGATGAGGTGCCAAGCCCTGTTCTCCAAGCCAGAAGTCTAATTTCAGAATTCCTTGGGAACTTGGTTATTTTGCTCCCCTTGCTGCCCAGTTGCACTTCCTTCACATTTCACCCTAATTTTAAATTGGGTTGTTTGTCTCTTTTTGTCGTTGTTGAGTGGTAAGAGCTCTTTATATATTATAAATCGCACACTGGCTACTTACCAGGTAAGATAATTTGCACGTGTAGTCTGGGATTCTGTGGTTAGTCTTTTCACTCTTTTGATGGTATTCTTTGTGTTTTTAAAATGTTGATGAAGCCCCATGGATCATCAATTTTCTATGATTTGTGCTCTGTCATAGCCATGATTTTAAGTACAGTTAAGTTTGCACTCAACTACCAAAAGCTTGGTCGTTTGAATTCACCCAATAGTGGTGCAGAAGAAAGGTTTGGTGATTTACTTCCATAACGTTGCAGCCATTAAAAAGTTGCTACGGAAGTATCGTTGTACTCTACTACACCAGGAGTTACCATGAGTTGGAATCAACGCGACAGTGAATTGAGAATCTGTGTGTCCTGGGACTAACCATTGATTTGACAGTGTGACCTCTATACTTCACACCTGGATTTTTCTGTGATTTTCAACTTCTGATCTGTGTTTTGGACGCACCACTGTATTTCCTTTATGTAATTGATCCATTGTATTTTCCAGGGTGTGGTCCCAACGGCACAGCGTGCGGCCATCGTTGTGGGAGTAGAACTTCCCGTCTATGATATTACCAAAAAGCATTTAATATTGTCAGGGATGATGGGAGATACAATTTTAACTCACTTTGTGTAAGTACAAGGATCCTTGGTGGCACTGTTAGGTATGTATTGGGCTGTAAAATGCAAGGTCATTGGTACAAACCCACTAGCTGGTCTGTAGGAGCAAAACAGGGCTATGTGTTCCTTTAAAGATGTACATCCTGGGAAACCCTATAAAGAGTCACTTTGAGTCAGAAACGACTTGATGGCAGTGGGTTTGGGCTAGTTTTGATAGGTGGTACTTAGTTTATAGTTGCAGCATTTGGTGCATAAAAAAGCCTCTTTTAATGTACAAATGAGCTTTACACAATTGATGTTTGTATGGATTGTGATAAGAGTTGTATGAGCCCCTAATAAAACGATTTTTAAAAAGCCTCTTTCACAGAAGTCCTTCTGTGGAATTGGATCAACAGTGCATAGGGCCTAAATACCCCTAAAACCTCTCCCATTACCAGAATGTCACACCTTTGGGAAATGTACACGTCAAAGGACCTGGATGCAGTGGCCACTTTAGAACTTGGGGACAACATCTAATACAGCCTGATGGCTGTAGAATTTGTACTTATTCATTCACAGTCTTGATATCGTTCACCAACACCTCTTCTTATTTGCTCTGGCCTGATTTTGAATTTGCAACTAAGCTTCTCTTCCCGGGAATCAGACAGAAAAGGGGGTGGGGAGGGGGACTTTACAGAGCCCGTGAAACAAAACCATAGTTTTTGATGGAAACTGTTGCCAGGAGAATCTGACATTTGATTCAGCTTGTAGCCTTCATGGTCTTTTGAGGTTCAAATGCATTTGGCCCATGATGCTGTGGTCTGGAAAACGCACGCCTCTAATAGGCGATGCCTGGCACTTCTGGCCTAGAGATCTTGTTAGTGTTACAAGCCAAGGTGCTTTAGGAATGGCTTCCTTTCTCTTTAGATTGGAATAAAAGAGCAGGTGTCAGCTTTTGTGATGGGTTGGAGTCACCATGCATTTATTTCTGTGGAATTGGGGGTGAGGCAGGTGGAATAGGGGGAGTCTGTCTTCTAAACATTTTGTTTTCATCTTTAGTTCCAGCTTTACGTGTGGCCTGGCTGGGGCTCTGGCCTCCAATCCAGTCGATGTGGTAAGAACTCGCATGATGAACCAGAGGGCGATTGTGGGGCACGTAGACCTCTACAAAGGCACTTTGGATGGGATTTTAAAGGTATGCACGCTGCCCACTTGCCTTGGCAATTTCCTTTTTGGCTGTGTCTAAGACCTCTCTGCATATGGGAGAATCATTTTTGTACTTGGATTTTCAGCCGCCTCACAGAGCCATTCCCAGGCAGAAAAGCTGCCTCCTTGGCAATTTGCTGGCACACAGCAGTCCTTACTGTCACAGTTGCCATTCGAATGCCTGGGAATGGAGGAGGCTGTTCTTAATAAGACCAGATTGTGTTAGGGAATGGCAAGACTTACTACACATCCTGCAGTTTGTCCACTGCAGACCCAGAGACCCTGGAATCAAAAAGCCAGTACTCCTTTGCAGCTCACACCTTGGCTTTGAGGGTTCCTGTGCTGCCATGTTTCTAGCAGGACTTTGAACCGCTTCATTCTGGTTTGACCTCCTGATGAGAATTTGCCAGTCTGCCCCAGATGTACTGTATCAGACTCCACATCTAACAAGTGCCTGAGGTGTTTCACGAATGATGGCAGTAGATGGGGATGCTTGAACCAAATTGAACTAGTTTGAAGTCCTGATTTGTAGGATGCTGAATACAAATGGTTTTCTCTGTTACCAGTTATTGCCTGGCAGGCAGCTGTCTAGTCAGTTCAGAGAAAGTGCAGCTGTATAACCAGTAGAGGCAGTCAGTGGTCCAGTTAGTGTACTGGAGGAGCATGGGAGCTGGGGCTATCCGGTCTCTGTAGACCAGGCGCCCTCAAACTTTTTAAACAGGAGGCCAGTTCACTGGCCCTCAGACCCATTGGAGGGCTGGACCATAGTTAAAAAAAAACTATGATCAAATTCCTATGCACACGGTACATATCTTATTTTGAAGTAAAAAAACAAATGGGGGTAAAAACACCCAGTAGGTGTTTGAATAGCAACAGCATACATCTATCTTTTACCTACTTTGCTGGGTACCAAGAACTCCCCTTCCGAAACTGACAGTTGACCTCACTCCTGCCTTGTGAGGCAAAGCTCGGAGAACTCAGCCTGTCCACAGCCTCACAGCTATTAAGCTGCAAAGCTGGGATTTCAGACTCAGATCATTGGCTTCAACCAACACATTTAGCCTCTATACTCTTAGCACCTTCCTCACAGTGCTGATGAAGAACTAGCCAGGCAATAAAGTGTATTTATTGTTTGCAAGAGGAACCCTGGTAACATAGTGGTTATGTCTTGGGCTGCAAACTGGAAGGTCGGCAGTTCGAAACCACCAGCTGCTCCAAGGGAGAAAGATGGGGCTTTCTACTCCCATGATGCGTTACAGTCTCAGAAACCCACAGGGGCAGTTCTGCCCTGTCCTATAGGGTCGCTTTGAGTTGGCATCAGCTCCATGGCAGTGAGTTTGGTTTCTTTTTTTGTGTTGTGTGCAGGAGCCTTAATGGCACATGGGTTAAGTGCTGGTCTCCTAGCTTCCAGGTTGGCAGTTCAAACCCACAAACTGCTGTGAGGCAGTAAAATAAGGTGTTTTGCTCCCATAAAGATTTAAAGCCTTCAGAAGCCCCAAGGAACAGGTCTACCTGTCTTGTGGACCCTATGGGAGCGGTGTGCTGAGGGACTTGAATTTTTTATTGATTTACTTTTTAATTGATAGGGAGTTAATGAAAGCTCCCAATCAGGTCCTATGTGGTATTTTAAATAGCTGAGTCTGGTGCAGTGAGGAAAACCCTTAAGGAGATGGATTGGCACTATGGTTGCAAAAGTGGGCTCAAGCATAAGAACAATTGTCAGGATGGAGCAGGACTGGGCAGTGTTTCCTTTTGCTGTATATAAGGTCTCTATGGGTTGGAACCAACTCGATGGCACCTAACAACAACAAGCACAATAAGAAATCGGATGCTGTTCTGAATGGAGCTAAGGCAGGATCCTCAGCTTTGAGAGCACATTGGAACTACCTGGGGCACTTTGATGCTTCCTTCTCTCCCTGGGATTGTCTGAGACCCTCTTAGGGACCGGTAGTTTCAAAGCTCTACTGGTGACTGCAATGTTCATTGCAGGTTGCAAACCACTAATCTCAGGGGGTAAGGTCCAGAACCAAGCTATCAAGGGGTCACGAAGTGGGGGGAAGAGGAGCTGATACCAAGGGCTCAATAGAAAATAAATGTCTAGGAAAGAGTGAGGGCAACATATTGTATATACTCATGTATAAGCCGAGTTTTTCAGCACATTTTTAATGCAGTATTTGTGGTAAAATTAGGTGCCTTGGATGATATTTGAGTTGGCTTATACTTGAGTATATATGGTATGTACAAATATGCCTGATACAATTTCATGTATGGATTGTAATAAGAGTTGTAAGAGCCCCTAATAAAATGATCTTTTAATGAAAAAAACCTTAAATCACACACACACATACACACACACAAAGAATGGGTGAATGCTGATATTTTGAAGAGAATAAAGTTCAGAGATATGTGACATTCCCTAGATCCTAAAAGTATTTCCAAAAGATTGTGGTCTAAAGATTTGGTAAAGAGCATCATGGGAAAAAAGTTTTGAAATTAGGTATGGGCTAGACTTTTTAAAAGATTGTAGGCAAGTTATTAACACAGAAAAGCATTCAGTACTTCATTATTATGCATGTGTCTATAAGCTTTCTCTCTATTCAGATAAAGTAGAAATCACAAAAGGTGTGTGTGTGTGTGTGTGTGTGTGTGTGCATGCAAGAAAGACAATCCCGAGATTCAATTGTTAGTTCTGTTTGCTAAGAAATTTAGCTCTCTGTCAAAACATTTTAAAATTAATGGACACTTCGATGCTTTAAGTTAAAATATTTAAGATAAGTATGAATCATGTTTCTCTTCTCTGCATTGATGGCTTTTTTTCCAGATAAGTAACCAACTGCTTACCCTTCTCACAGTAAATAAGGTCTTCCGTGTCCTAACAGGAGCTCCCATAAAAGAGTTCTAGCCTCAGAGACCCACAGGGCCAATTCTACCCTATCACATAGGGTTGCTGTGAGTCAGCATCTACTCACTGGCAGTGAGTTTGGTTTAGAGTTCTGTGTCATTGATGTACTCACTCATTCTTTTATTTACAATAAAAATCCTTTAAAATGATTGTATTTTACCGTATAAACTTGTATATAAGCCAAAATTTCCAGCACATTTTAAATGCCGTTTTTGTGGTAGAATTAAGTGCCTCGGCGGATATTCAGGTCGGCTTATTCTCGAGTATATATGGTATATTGCCATATTTTATAGCACTGTCCTTCATTCTTTTGTATTTCATCTTCAAGAGCCTCCAACCACTTTGGTAAATGGCCTTTTACAGGGTCTGTGGGTATCTCAGATGACCTTTCAGGTGGGTCATGAAGGAGTGAGACTCAGGAAGGCCAGAAAACCAATAGGGATTTCAGACCCACAGGTCCCAGAGAGGAAACCAGTGGGCACGCTGTGATACAGGGCCACATAGGGCTGCACCCAGGGACAAGGTGGCAACACGCTGGAACTGCAGGCAAGGGCTTTGTATGGTGGGGTGGGGTCTCCAGTTAGGACGTATATTCCTTTCGTGGGAAACCATATGGGGCACAGCTGGGAGGGGCGGCAGGCAACAGTTGTCAAGGAGAGAGGCTACATGCGTGACTAAATAGGAATAGCCGGATCCAACACTGGGTGAAAGGGCACCTGGCCAGAACGAAGGGATGCCAAGGGAGCCAGCTGTGTAGGCCCCAAAGTGGCTGTACAGCAGTTGGGGATCATGTATTCTTCTCTACCGGGGACAGGGACAACTTGGAACCTTGGTCTGTCACCAGCAGCTCAGAGCTCCTCTCCTGGCTCCTCTTTGCTCCATGGCTATACACAATTTGACCCCCCTTTCCTGTTACAACCTTCTCTCTGCCACCTTAACTTTCTATTCTAGGCCTTGCTGAACCGGGTCCAAGCGTGCACCCACCCTGTTTTACACCTCCCGCCGTGTCTGGCTAGCCCTGACTTATGCTTCAGCTCTCAGATTGAATGCAGCTTTTTAACCAGAGCCTCCCTGACCGCTTGACTAGCATATGTGCCCATAGTGGTTTGGTGGTGGTACTTTGTCATAGAAGTCACCCATTTAAAGAATATAATTCAGCCCTCTTAGTATACTGACAAGAGTTGTGCAACTTTAACCTTTATCTAAGTTTAGAATATTTTTGGAGCCCTGGTGGCATAGTGGGTTACACGCTGGGCTGCTGACCTCAAGGTCAGCAGTTTGAAACCACCAGCCACTCCTTGGGAGAAACATGAGGCTTTTGACTCTCTTACAGAGTGTTCCAGTCGCAGAAACTCACAGGGGCAAGTCTACCCTGCCCTACAGGGTCACAATGCGATGGAATTGACTCAGTGGCAGTCAGTGAGTTGTGAGAACATTTGTCGCTCTCTCCCCAAAAGAAACTATTCTTATTATCTCTCACCTCACCTCTCATCCCAGCCCCGAGCCCTAAGTGACCCCACATCTGCTGCCTGTCTTCATAGATAGGCATCTCCTCGCCAGGTCACATAGATGGAATATTACAACCAGCAGCTTTTTATGATTGATTTCTTTCACTTAGCACAGAGTGTTCAAGGTTTGTCCATTCTAGCGCGTCTACCAGTACTTCCTGCGACATGCTGGGTTGCTGAATAGGACTTCATTATATGGCTCTAGCCACTGGGAAGCCAGTGGCGGGCCTCAAGCAGGGAAGCGACATGATCTGATTTCTAATGTTGCGAGATTGTCTGGCTTCCGGATGAAGGCCGTAGTCCAGTGCGGAGGTCATTGCGCTGCCACGTGAGGGGCTGGGTTCTAGCTCTGGAGTCTAGGATCCTGTGTTGTTTATCTACATCCAAGGTGGATTTAGGCCTATTTTCTCAATTTTCCCGCAACAGCTGGGTCTGAGACCCTCAACCTTTGTTAAAGATCCATTGGGAGAAGCCTATTAGCCTGATGTTTTGTTCTTTAATAAATATAGCCATTAGTGCTATTTGTTCCAACACAATGGTGACTAAGGAACATTATTTCATGTATTCCATTTGGAGAAGGAGCAAGTTACAAGTGTTTTGGATAAGGGATATTTAACCAGCCTGGATTTTCATGTTATTATCTTATCCAACCATCTCCTGTTGGTAGTATAAGTGGCAGGTTTCATGTCACTAGTGGAAAGGGAAAAAACCTTCCTCAGCCCCTGAATCCAGGGCTAACATGCTATAGTTATTTGATCAGTACCTGTCTGTGATATAGGGAGTCCTAGGGGTGTAGTGGTTTTGCAATGGGCTATGATCTACGAGATCTGCAGTTTGAAATCACCTGCCACTCCTCAGGATAAAGACTGGGCTTCCTACTCCCATAAAGACTTACAGTCTCAGAAGCCCACAAGGGGCAGTTGTACTCTGTCCTAAAGGATCACTAGGAGTCAGCATCGACTCGATGGCAAGGAGTTTGGGTTTTGTTGTTTGGTTTGTTATATATGGAATATTTCTGCTGCTTTATTTCAACACACACCATCAATTTATGACCTGAGATAGAGGGAGAGAGAGAAAAGAGAGAGAGAGAGAGAGAGAGAGAGAGAGAGAGAGAGAGAGAGAGAGAATGAATTTATTTTAACTCTCATGGTCACTTGGCTGCTGTATACAGGATCCACATTGTATAAAGGAGGAAACCAAAAACAGTTCACGGTTTGCCCCTCACCTAAACCTCAAAGCTGTCACATATGGTAGTGCAAAACATTACACAGTGTTTGTAGTGATGGGACAGATTCTGTGTTAGTCTGGGTACATTAGAGAAACAAATCCACAGAAACTCATATGTATAAGAGAGAGTTTTATATAAAGGTTAAGTGCACATCAAGAAAACATCCCAACCCAGTGCTGCCCAAGCCCACAAGTCCAACATTAGCCCATATGTCCAACACCATCTCACAAAACACGCAATGACGTCGATTGCAGGAGGAAAGCCAAGTCAGTGAAAGGGTAATCATCTCAGCGCTGGCGGGGGTCTCCAAACGGCTGCTCCAGCATCCAGGGCTGCATCGGGGTAGGTCCATGTGGCTTCTCCTCAGGGATGTATTGCAGGAAGTGAGCCTTGCGAGCAAAAGCAGGGAACTGGCTAAGGCAGCTGCATCCTGGTCTGACCATCGCAAAACAAGAGACCCGAGAACTCGAAAGGCAAGGCTCACTGAGCCATTTATCTCTCTGCCCTTCAATTAATCCCACATGTGTTTATTAGCCACATTGGCACAATAAACCTTAACTATCTCAGATTCCAAGAAGGATTATAACATGCCCACCTCCCCAGTCCCTCATCCTGCTTTCATTTTCTTCCCAGCACTTACTATTATTAGATAGAATACATATCAATTAATATATTTATTGACTGGTTGCCAGCCCTGCTAAAATGTATACTCTGAGGGTAGGTACTATATGAGTTACGTATTACTGTATATCAAATGACCCTAGGACTCGGGGCTCCTAAAACACACATCTATTATTTCAAAGTTTCTGTGGCTCAGGAATTCAGGAGCAGCTTAGCAGGGTGGGCCTGCCCAGGCTCTCTTGAAGTTTCAGGCAAGAGGTCAGCCAGGGCTGTAGTCATCTGGAAGCTTGAATGGGGTTGGGAGATATACTTTGAAGCTCATTTGTGTGACTTTTTGCAAAACAAAAAAAAAGGCTGCTTGCTGGAGACCTTGGTTCACCACATAAGCCTTTCCTTATGATATGACAGCTGGTTTCCCCCATAGTGACTGATCTAAGATAGATTGCCAGAGGCCTTATTAGGTATAAAAGGCTTGTATAAATTTGCGTTGGAAGTGGTGTATGTTCTCTACTGCCATAACCCACACAGACTAATCCTGGTACATTGTGGCAAGGGCAACACAAGGGCCATCTTGGAGGCTGGCTACCACAGACACACTTTCTGTGTCATGTTCACTGTTGCTAGCATTGAGAAGGATGCCTGGCATATAGTATGTGTTTAGTAAGTAATTGTTGAATTAGTAGGTGGATCGAAATGACATGAGTTCAAAATGTATGTCTTTTTAGAAAAGACTTTTTAGAAAAGACTTTTTAGAAAAGCCATTAATTGTTGGGGTGGAGGCTAGGTGATGGGGTAAGGGTGGAAAATAAGTACTCCAGTAACAGGGCTTGTTGGATTTCGAAAGAAAGGGGAACTCACTCTATTTTTTGACTTGTCTCTCTCCCCCCAGATGTGGAAGCACGAGGGCTTTTTTGCACTCTATAAAGGATTTTGGCCAAACTGGCTTCGACTTGGACCCTGGAACATCATCGTATCCTTTTAGAATGTGAGAGTGAAAGCCTAGTTTTAAGCTTCCAGGTTATTCAAAGCCCTGGGAAGGAAATGTTGATCGTGGAAACCTTGAGGCACGTGAGAAACTCACCCTGTCTCAATGGTGACCCTTGAGGATGGAAAAGAAAGCGCCCTCACTTGGAGGCAAATATAAGCTCCCAAGAGAGTAGGAGATGTGCCCAACTTTTCCTCTGTAAAACACACGAACCACCACCATAGCCTCTAGAAGAGGCTGTGAAGCTTTGGGAAGAAGGCATGCTGGGCAAGTGCCCACAGGAATGCCTATGAGAAGGTGTCCTGGCGGCCAGTAGTATAACATGACATCCATTCAGAGAGTGAAAGAACCCAGAGCCAATTAGGGCCCCTTCCTCATGGGAGACTCTCCTCACTGGAACTGTGTTTGAGTGCCCCCCTGTGTGCAGAGCTGGGAGCATTGTAGGGTTGAAAAGCAATGTGATACACCTTCCCTGAGTGATGGTTGAGAGAGAGCCGCCGTCTCCATCCTTAGAATTTCTCTGGTCACCTACTATCTGTAACAGTGACTCTAACTCTAACACTGAAACATAGGGTGTCATCAATGCTTGACTGATTTGTGTACATCGAGTCCCTGAAGACGACCAGTATATTAAAGGTTTAATCATTAATACTGCTAAGGGCCAGTGATCCTAATGGGCCCATGGTGAGTACTCAGTACATGATTACGGTGGGCATTTGATCCATGATTGATTTGACCCAGAGCAGTTTGTTGCCTTTTTTTTTTTTTTTAGGGCTTTTAAACAAGAGACTAGACTAAGTACCTTAAGAGAATGCAGTGAACGTTTTTCAACAGGGTTTGGTTTTTGATATCTTTCTAGTGATCTTCCATGACTTCTGCCTCAGTTTTTTATTACATATGAGCAGCTAAAGAGGCTTCAAATCTAGGCACTGAATTATATGCGAGCCCAGCCCTGCTCATCTTTATACTTTCCACCCCTCTCCCCCCACCCTTTTCCTCCCTGTCTTCTACTGTATTTTGAAAATGTTTTAAGTGTTTGCTGAACCTGTGGTCCTCCACCCCAACCCACCCCAGGCTTCCTGACTGAAAAGCAGTATAGGGGCTCCAGATGCTTTTGTGTTTCTGTGACCATGTTAACTTTTCCCAGAGAGGAAGTGTTAACGTTGAGACTCTGGCCCCAGATTGGTATCTTCTGTGAAGATGGATACGGATGGATACTTTTCAAGATGGTCGTCTTTCAACTGGGTGGGAGCCCCAACTGTGGGCTAGAGCAGAAGGCATAGGCGAGGGCAGTTACAGCTGTGAATGTTTCAGATCTTGGTTCTCATTAAAGTATTTATTGGCAAAATTACTTTGACTTTGTCATCATTTAGTGTTTGCTCTTGTGCTAGCTCTGGAAGTTACGGTCTCTGGAGAGAGAAAGAGGAAGAAAAAGCAAAGGTGACTATGAAATTAAGAAATAAGCATAAGGCAGTATTCGGGCTTTCATCCGTGGATAGTTTGGGAAATAGAATGAGTGCATTATACTTGACCATAGCCATTCAGTACCATACTTCCACTCACTTCCACACTGCAGGCCAATGGCTTTTTCCTGAACTAGAATCCACAAATAAGCGACTCATCTGGAAATGTCCACAAATAAAATGCAAAAGGCTTAAAATGGAACCTGTGCCTAGGGTTCTAATTGCCTTTCAGATAAAAAGCTCTGGCTGCTTGCTTTCTTTTCTTTTTCCATTTTCTTATTTTTTTACAGTTTTATTGGCATATCATTCACGTACCATACAATTCAGTGGTGTGAATATATTAAGAGTTGTGCAGGCATCACCACAATCAATTGAACATTTTTTTCATTCTTGCATCCATTATTATTACCGTATATACTCAAATATAATCCACCTCGAATAGCGGAGGCACCTAATTTTACCACAAAAACTGCAATTAAAAATGTGCTGACAAACTCAGCTTATACACAAGTATATCCCCTCCCTGCAGAAGAATTTATTTCAAAAGACAGCATTGAATCAGCAGCTCAGGGAGAGGGACATATCTGATCGGAGCACATGGGTACAGATGAAGGGGGAGGAGGAGAGAGTGGAGCACACCCTGGCCCATCAAGCTTTGAGGATGATCCCAATTAGAGCAGCCAGTCCACAGACAGGACCACATGGCCAGCCCCACCATGAGACATGATGTCCCTCACTGACCCATAGCCCTACAGGAAACAACACCAGAGACATAGTGTGGCAATTGCACCCAATCTGATCCTGCCACCCCGAGGCAAAACACTAAGGGGGTGCAACAGAACAGCAAGGGAA